GGTAACTGTTAAAACCTGGGTCCCATCTTAACCTTGTTAAGAGGAATAGTTCATTCCTTTATAAGTTGGTATATATTTTCAGTCAATCTTGAAATCCGTGTGCTTATTCGGATCGAATTCCTCGTTGGAATTTAATGGACTCTAATACCATGTTAAGACTTAGGGTTTCATCTTAAAAGGTCAATCTTGTTAAAAGTCAATCCACTAAAAATATAATGTGGACTTTAGTTCATTGGCTTGGAGATAGTCATACTTATTTTTGGTAACTGTTAAAACCTGGGTCCCATCTTAACCTTGTTAAGAGGAATAGTCCAATCCTTTATAAGTTGGTATATATTTTCATTCAATCTTGAAATCCGTGTGCTTATTCGGATCGAATTCCTCGTTGGAATTTAATGGACTCTAATACCATATTAAGACTTAGGGTTCCATCTTAAAAGGTCAATCTTGTTAAAAGTCAATCCACTAAAAATATAATGTGGACTTTAGTTCATTGGCTTGGAGATCGTCATACTTATTTCTGGTAACTGTTAAAACCTGGGTCCCATCTTAACCTTGTTAAGAGGAATAGTCCAATCCTTTATAAGTTGGTATATATTTTCATTCAATCTTGAAATCCGTGTGCTTATTCGGATCGAATTCCTCGTTGGAATTTAATGGACTCTGATACCATGTTAAGACTTAGGGTTCCATCTTAAAAGGTCAATCTTGTTGAAAGTAGTAGTCCAATTCTTTATACATTGGTATATGTTTTCATATTTAATCGATGTGAGATTTTTTCTCTTAATAGTAACTCCATCTTATTTTTAAGCCTCAGCAGTTCTTCGCAGTGAAAATTCAAGGAAGGAACATCGGTACAGAATTAAGGGGCTAACAGGAATTATCATAATACAGAAATACATTAGAGAGCACTTTGCATACAAAGCAATAAAACAGAGGCGTGCAGCAGTTTTGTCCTTGCATTCTGGTAAAATAGAATGTTGAATGCAAAAATATCATCCTGTTTTCGGACACGACATCTTTGTTATGTATATGTACTGTATTTTGCAGGAATTCGAGGTTGGTTGTCCCGAAGGCATTTCGACCACATAGGACACGTACAAAAAATAAAAATCGAGAATGAGAGAGATGTCAGAAACCTGCCTAAAGACACAGACAAGAAGGTATATGTATATATGATGGAATTTCTAGTATCTTCAGATATGCTTAGTAAATCTTTGAACAAGGTCAAGGTATTGTAGACTAAAAATACATAATTTACGAAGAAAAACCTACCATTTTACTTTCTAGTTTTTGAATAAAAGCGCAATGAGTTTTGTTGTTAGGATTGCATTCTGGTTCAGCATCTTGCTCTTGTTGATCTTCAAAAGCAAGCTTTGAGGATAGAGGTAAAACTGCAGAAAAAGAATGAGGAAAACTCTGCTTTGAAGATGCAACTTCAGAAAATGGAGGATAAATGGCGAGAATACGAGGAGAAGATGAAATCCTTGGAGAATGGCAAGATCAATTGACTTATATACAAGTGACTTCTAGGTCTAGTTTACATCTTCATCTTTAGCTTGCCTCGACTCTCCTGCACACGATATTTATGACATCTGATAGACTGGCCTCCACTTTGGCAGGACAGATTTTAAGGAAAAAAGATATTAAAATCTTGTTCGCTGTTTTGTCAAGTACTCGGTACCAAACATATTCATGTAGTTCATTTAAGGATGGTGAAAAAAAACTGAATTTAGGTGTTTTCAGTATTTTAGTTCCAGTAATTTGATTGGTTTGATGAAGACATGTCTAGCCGCAGCAAAGAAAAATCCCACAAACGAAAGTATTATTGGGAGATTTGGACAATGTTATGCTACTTCAGGACATCAAAATCAGAATGCTGATAATATAACCACAAGAACTGGTTTTTTTCATGGAAATAGTATGGTGGGCTCATTGGATTTGCCCAGTAGCAATGGATCAGGGCCGCATATCACAACTAATTCAACCTATCACATAATCAAACAATTTGAAGGCATGTACGATGAGGATGGTGATCAGGCTCAAGTTGCATCAGATCAGGTAAAGTTGCATCCTGGTGTTGAGCTTCAGAAACTTAAGCTTAGGTTCACAGCATGGAAAAAATACTTCAAAACTCGGTTATGGGAAGCAGAAGCAACATTCAAGAAGCTTAGCCATCTTGAAACAGAAAAAGGCCAAAAGAGATGGTGGGAAAGAAGACAAATGAGAAGGGGGATTAGGAACTGAGACTTTGATGTTAGTTATTTACTTTTTGCAATGCAGATTTTATTGTGATACAAATTATTTGCACTTAAGTAATGGTTTGTCCGGAAGGTGAATTGTACAATCGGACTATTGTTAGATCATGGGGTCAAGAATTGAAAATATGATAGCAATACGTGGATTTGGAATTCCATCCTTCACTCTCATACATATTTTCAAAAGAGTCTTACATAATCGTTAGGATAATGTGGAAATAAACAAATAAATCATTATTGTTACATTCACATTCGAGTTTGATCAGGACACAGTGAAATTCAATTTAAAGTTTATTTCCCATGGGACGATACTCATTTTCACTAAAATATTACTTATCAACAACCTCGTATGCTTATTTCATTGAATATCAAAATTTTTACATTTATTGGTGTTATAATAATATTACTTTAATTTTCTAAACCCAATATAATATAAATGTCAGAAGTATAAAAAATAAATAAAGCAAAGACATGTTACTATACTAAATCAAGGAACATAAAATGTTTAATGATTTTTTATTTGGCTTTATTGAATTATTCTAAAAGATATATTTTTCTATTTATTTTGATATATTTAATTATTTGTGTGGATGACAATGGGGAGGGTCACCTAGACCATGATTCCAACCCATTGTCACGTCATCAGAGCCACCCATTGTCATCTCTAATTACTTGTTAAAAAAAACATATGTTGGAATACTTTATGAAATTATTGTTACACATGTTTTTTATATTTCTCTATGAAATAAGATTTAAATTAATCAATTTAAATGGATATTCATTGCACGCCCACGCCCTTCCAGATGGAATCCAGAATTCAATTTGTTTCCCTCCATAATATGAGGACCCATTAAGGAGTCTTTCTATCTTCATTCAAATTTATTTAAAAAAATAAAATTGAGCTCCTTTCACATAACTTTCATTTTTCTTTTATTTATTTGTTTTATCACATCAATAGTCTTTGAACTGTAAGTCTGTAACAATTAGGCCATGTTTGATTGACCATTATTTTCCATGAAAAATGGAATTCAAATTCGAGTTTTCATTTTTTTGACTGTTTGATAGTATATATTTTTTCTATGGAATTAGTTTTCATAAAAAGTGGACATTTTCTTGGTTTTCTAGGCTGATCTGTCAATTTTATTTTATTATTATTATTATTATTTTTTGGTAATGAAAATAAATTCTATCCCTAACTATAAAAAAAATATTTTTCTTTAATTGACAATTTCCATGTAAAACAAAGTCAAACGAACACCAAAAGATAGATGATTTTCCTGACTTTTTTTTTTTGGACAATGGAAACAAATGCTATCCCCAATACAATAAATTCTATCCCTTTAATTAACAATTTTCATATAAAACAAAGCCAAATGAATACCTACCAATCAAACACAATAATTGACAATTTCCAGTAAAACAATTTTTAGGCAATTCAATTCCTTGAAATTCGTTTTTTCACCCAAAATTCATCTTTACAATCAAACAGACCCTTAGTTCTTTCTTATACTCAACTTATTCTAAATACATACTCGGCCAAATTAATTCCCAATCTGAATTTATTATCAGATTTAAAACCTTCTTAGGAATTCCATACTTTTCCTTAAAATTTTTGGTTCTTGTGTTATTAATGGAATTAAACTATAAATTTTAAAGACTATTTATTAAATTAAAACTAACTTAATCATTAAGATTTCAAGCAAATTTGAATAATTATAAGCAATTAACTTCTATTAGAAAAACATACAAATTTATAATTTTTATTTTTCTTGCTTAAGTTATAGCGTTATGTCTTGGTCCATATTAGTACCCAAGTTCAAGTAAGACTTGTTCAAAAAAACTAGTTAAACATGTATGACTTACCAACGAACATTTCGTTTCATCTCACCAATGGTCAAACTTCTTCTATATCGATTATAAATTTGATAGATGGTGTTGATGTGTTATTTGTTCTCAAACCTAGCGTTGACAAGGGTTCTAATTCAAAGTATTGAAAATGTAAAAATTTGAAAAATATATAAATACGTTAATATTCAATTTTAATCATCACGCGAATGGATCAAGTGAGTCGGCTCGATTTTTAGACACTCGAGCTCAATTCATATCCACAAACTAGGCTCTATGTTTAGACATTCGAGCTCAATTCATATCCACAAATTTAAGTTACTGTTTGGTTTTGTTGAAAGTCAATTTTTTTTTTTTTTTGTTGTAAATTTAGATAAAAATTGATGAAATGTATTTTTGAAAAGTGGATAACAATCTCATAAAATAGGTCGAAATTAATTGTTGAGTTTACATAAAATTTGAATTTTGCTAGTTATACAATCGGGGTGGACAACCTCTTTAGAGGAGACGGTTTACAAATTTTTATTATTCATTGTGGATTCCCTTCCATGTGTATGGTTGTTAACTTTGATTGTTTATGTAGTATGACCGTTAAAATTTTTATCAACTTTTTTAGTTAAATAAAACATGGGATTATGAAATAAGTCCAAAAAATGAGTCCACCCATGAATTCAGAACCAGCCAGCTGTGAAAAATGTGCTTGATTCGATCAATGGCTCATCACAAAATGAGTTCGACCGAGGCAAGCCCACTAGCGGTTCCACCTCTAATCACGCATGTGGGCCAAACGATGAACTTATCCACACATTAAAAAGCTCATATTTGACTCAACTAAAAAAATTACTAAAATTATGATTTTTAAACTTTCAATTTGTTTATCTTATCCATATTGCCGACAGAAACAGATGTCGTTATAGGACTTTGCCACGCTAAATTACAATTTGCCCTAACGTGTCGGTTGAATTACTTCATGCAAACACTTGTAAGCCTCTCCTGCCATTGCCATTCGAGTCAACAACCTTTTCTCTTCTATATAAACTCAAATCTGATCCGTCGCATACTGCACAAAATCTTAAGTTAGAAGAGCTAGTTGAATTGCTATTGAAAATATTCGATAGTGTTGTGGTTGATTTTAGAGTTGCAAATTAAGAGAAAGAAATGGCCCAGTACAAGGACGAATATGGCAGAGAAATTCGTCAGACAGATGAATATGGCAATCCTATCCGCCGGACTGATGAATACGGCAGAGACATTCTATATTTTCCATTTTTAAATAGGAAAATTTAAGTCATTTCTAGAAAATCTCAAATATTTTTCGAAGCAGATTTTTTTAGCCTCTGATGATACTCGCTTGTTAAAAAACCCAAAAAGGAAAAATAATTTTGAAAAAGCCATTTTTAAATGAGAAAACTTGATTGTATATAAAGGAGAGTGATATACAGTAAACCATAAAGATGGAAGATATTTGGAAGTCGGTTCTTGTTTTCTTTTACGCTACAAGCGTTACATCAATCTCCATTTACTCTCTGCCTCTAATGGTTTTGGAACGTTGTACATTAATATATTATCATTCTAATGATTTTGGAACGTTATACGTTAATATATTATCATTATATACTTCTGCCAGGAAAGGATTTATAGGAAGTGAAATATATTTTTTGACTGTCTTTGGCTAGTTGGAATCTATTTTTTGAACATTTCAATTTGGGTTCTGGTTTTTTTTGGATATTCTGATTGTTCTTGTAAAGAGAGAGAATAGCAACAAAAAATGGAGTTGGGGAAGAAATGTGAGTCAATTGTGAATAGAGCAAATGAAGGGTATGGGGTGGGACTGGTGAGGAGTACATTGTTTGAGAGGCAAAGGGTTGCTTTGTCGAATATTAATTTGGAGTTTGATGGTCATAATGATTATATTCTCACCACACAGACAAAGAGACAGTGCTATGAATCTGTTCTTGAAGCCCTGCCTCAGGACGTTCTGGTTAGTACCCTTTTTCTGAGTCAGTTCTTTCAGAATTGTAGAAAATTATGCTTAAATGGGTAATTTTAAGTATATATAACTGTTTATGGTTGATTAGTAAAAGTATTATGGTTGTTAATGTAATAAGAATGTCTTGTTAAATTGTGTTCCTAAAATGGTGAGTATTTTTTATGCAGATTAGGATATTGTGTGTAGTCGAGCATGAGGATTTAAAGAGGTTGGTTTTAGTATCAAAATCAATACGAGATGCGGTAAGATTTTGTGGCCCTAAAGATTTTTATTTTAATTAATTTTTTTTCCCCTAGGGATTTACTTGAGTTTGAATATTAATTTGGGATTTTTGCTTGAATAAACAGACTCTGAACGTTGTGTATAGTACTCCAAAGAAGACCGTTGGGTTCCAGAACGTGGAGGATATGAGTGAGTTCAATGACATTAAAGCTCCTAATGCTCCAAAGCAGTCTAGGGTTCCAAGGTCTCGGTTGAGTTCAAAGAAGCTAGCTGCCATCTCAGTGGCCTTGTTCGCTTCTGGTAGCGAAGACAATTAGCCACGAAAAGATTTAATGGCAATGGAAACAGAGATATGAAATTGAGGGTTATGTATAGTATAGGCATGCAATGTTCTAGTTGTTGCAGAAATAGTACATCACCCCTCTGTTTTGATAAAGATCTTCTGATTTATTTGAATGAATCTAATAACATATTCCTCTATAGCTTGGAAGTTCAAATGTCTTAATTTTGATATTGGACTATTCTTCGTGTTGATGCTGCACTAAATTATCAGTATCAGAATGTTTTCTTCGATTTGGGATGATGTAAAAAGAGTAAAAGAAAGTGAATTAGATGCCATTAAACATTATATTAACAAAGAAAAGAAAGTGGACTTTGCATTTTACTGTCTGCTAGAGTCTCGGATTACATACCCAAAATGCACTCAGAGCAGAATCTTACTGCGTTCTCTAGTGTTGCAAATGCAGCCAAGCAGCAAGAATGTTGGCAGTGAGGGTCCCAAAAGGAATCCATTTTAATGATCCACCACGTCCATTAAAACAAGCTAAGAACCACCTGGTCCAGATGCCAAGAAAGCCAAGGATAGCTGAGCTTCCGTACTGTAATTGTTGAACTCGTGCTTTGCTAAAATCCCAAACACGCTCAATAATACGCCAAAAAAATACCAATAAAAATGCCAAGAAAAGTGAACGTCCAACGTCCTTCACGACTTAGGTCTAGCATTTTCTGATTCCAGCCACTAAATGTTGTAAGATTTCCCAAGAAATCGACAATCCGATACCAACTCGTCTGAAACTTTGATCATATCATCTTTGAAAACAACACCAAACCAATCCATTGAGAATGAACTAACTTGAAACAACGCACATAATTTGCAAGATTATCTAAGAGAACCCAAAAATGTATAGAGAACCCAGCCACGTTAGGGAACCCAAAAAAGCTGTCTACTTTTTACATATCAATTCAAGCATCTTCTTTATCCCTTGCCTTTCCTCTTCATCCACACCTCCACATTTATACATATATATGATTGAACATTCGACAGAAAAGGACGGAAAGGACATGTATGTACACAAAATTAAACAAAGGAGGAGCAAAACTACGTGCTTAGTGAATGGCAAAACTTGGTTTTGTTACAAGTTTTTTGTCTGCCACAACTAACAACTGCCATTTCCATTCCCTCCATCTTTAAAGCAAGAAAGCAGGACATGACGTGTTCGATCTTAATATTTCCCCATAAATGATTGAGGAAAAAAATCACTCAAACTTGCATTATTGACTTCTTTAACATGATATGTGTATGACGAAAAAAGTTAAAAACGTGTTGAGTCCCTTGAGTTCTTACATCATTCGTATCTTAAGTTATTTTGTTCATCTAATCAGACTGTGTTGAGTACAACCTATGAGAACAAATATGTAAATTTAAAGAAAGTGTAGGGTAGGTTTTCTTTGCACATAATTTTTCTTCACAAGGGTGAGATTGAAATAAAAATATTCAAGACTTGCATGATTGGCATCTTTATTGGTATGGTGGGACTTATGAATTAGGAATTTAGAAAGTGTAAGGTGGAAATTGAATTACCATTGTGAATTTAGGTCACTTGTTTCGTGAGTGTTTGAAAATTTTATGTTATGGCATTTAACATGTTGTGGATGATTGGAGTAGTTGCGCGTATTGACTTAGTTAAAAGACTTTGCTAAATGATGTTTTGAAGAGAAGTGTGTGGTTGCACATTTACATTCGACTTTAATCTTTTTCAATTGCAATAAATTTGATGGTTTCTTTTAATGTTTGAGTTGATACTATGTTTTATTAATTTCATGTGAACTGTAGGATTTTTACGTTGTAATTTGTGTCACAATCTAATAAATACATACAATATCCAAAGCAAGAACTAAAAAATCAATAAGTGATATCAGCGTCAATTCGAAGATTTGAGGTTTTTCTATTTTGTAAGCAAAATATGAAATTGAAAAACTTATTGAGAACTTTTGAAGAAGGATGATTCAAATTCATTGTAAGAGATTTGATATTGGACGACTTATTATTATTATTTTTATGTTCCGTACTTTAAAATTGTGCTAATCTGTGAGATAATTTCAAACTATTTAAACACAAACTCGAGCATTATTATAGTATCGCAAATTTCTTCTTATGTTATTTGTTCTATATACGTTCACTACTTGAAATGTAAATCTTGAATCTTTTTCCCAACAAGATATATTCACCTGAGGATGGAAAACAAATTTTCGTAATAACAATTCGAAAGAATTTTAGAGGTACCATTGCCCGTGTGATATTGATCTTTGTACAGTGTTTCATTCAAATTGGATGCATCCTTCTTCCCTCCACATACATAACATTATATGATTCGCTGAACCTTCCATCCCAGCCACGTTAGAGAACCCAAAAAAGCTATCTACTTTTTACATATCAATTCAAGCATCTTCTTTATCCCTTGCCTTTCCTCTTCATCAACACCTCCACATTTATACATATATATGATTGAACATTTGAAAGAAAAGGACGGAAAGGACATGTGTGTACACAAAATTAAAAGACGGAGGAGCAAAACTACGTGCTTAGTGAATGGCGAAACTTGGTTTTGTTACAAGTTTTTTTATTTTTCATTTGAGGAAGTGTGAATTTTGTGTGGGTACCTAAATTAGTTAATTAATGGCACATGTTGTACGTTATTATGTGAGTTAGTGTATATCTTGTCGATCGTTTTGTTGACAAATGATAGACAATCTCTTTAATTGAAGAATAATGATGCTTGAACATGTTTAGAGATAGGCCAAAAATGGACAGACGGACTTAATTGGCAGCACTTGTTTGGATGTTTGTCTTTTTTATTTTTCAAACTGTCCAATCATATGTCGACATGTGTCCTCCCATTTTTTAACCTGTCCTTGAGCCTGTTTGTATAGCATAATTTTTGTTTAATTAAAAGACAATTGAATTTCAATTATCAGATTAAATTGGAATGTATGACTAAAAGGTGGAAACTTGAAAATTTTCCCACACTTCCTTTTATGAATGGTTATCAATTCTAGCTATTAGATTATAAAGCTTACGTTTCATAAAGACAATAAGCTTCCTTGACTATCCTTATTACTTTAAATCATAATAATAGCCCTGTTTGGACTTCATTTTAATTTTAATTGTAATGTATTTTCTATTTCTTCTTTTTAATTACACATTCTTTAATAAAATAATATTATATATAAATATAATTTTTTCTTCTTCTTTTCAACCACATATTCTTCAAAAAGTTGCTAGTTCAAAATATATTTTCCCTGAAACCTCATTAAAATGGATGCGAAACAATGGCCTATAGTATATATGAATTTATAAATTTTACAGTAGGGGACTTGCTTTTCTTGATGCCTTCATCATCCCCACGCCCACGCCAACAAAACCCAGCCTAAAACTTATTAAAGCAATCTCTTCTTGAAAAAATTATGTATCTCATACATGCACGGTGGCGTTGTGTTAGTGCAGGGATAATGAAATTATGTAATTTCAATTTAATCCCAACTCAGCTTCGATGAATTTCCTGCTCATATATATCTCCCACAATTGAGTGCCTTTTCACCTTCAGAAATTCATCAATGGAGGAGAAGCAAAAACAAAGAGAATCCAATTTCGTTACCTTTCTTCAAGAAACACTCTCCTTTCTTAGCTCAAACACTATATTCTCCACCATCTTCACTTTCTAGACTCTGATTCTACTGTACTTCCCAGCTTTTTTTCATAGACTCATTTTCTCGCCTATCCTGATTTCCACCTCAATTATCTTACTCTATCTTCTCCGTCTCAGTGCAAGTCAAAAAACCCAGAAGGAAATTGGATCCCATTCCTCGGAATTCGATTCCACCCAGAATTATTGCCGTAGAATGAAGAATTTTCTCTTCATGATCTCAACTTGGTTTCGTGTGAATCCGACAGTGATCCGAAGCAGAATTTGAATCTGGGTCCCAATTTTTTGGCCGAGTGTTTTGTGGAATGGGATGTGAGGGCACCATTGGAGGTTATACATGAAGAATACGAAGGTGAAGAAGTAGGAAATGAGGGGTTTTGGGAGGAAAAGAGAGAGGCACAGATGGCTGTTATTGAAAAATACGCATCTTTGTCACTGTATTACCCGGAATCCGACACAGACACTTCGTCGGAGGGAGATTTCCTGACGATCGAAGACTGGGAGTCATCTGAGAACTTATGCTTCCGGTGGGAAGAGGATGATATAGAAGGGTTGATAGAGATTGAACTGAAGGGGAAGAGTAATAATAGTGAAGTTGATGAAGAGAATTTGAGTGAGATTGATCTTTTCCCGTCGAGATGACGTGTACTTTTCCGCCGTTTATTCCGATGAAGCTTAGATACAGTTAACCTTTGTAATTAACTAAAAGTGGAAAGGTTTTGCGGTTATGGGTTTTAGTAGATAGAGGGTTTACCATTGTATTAAATCAAATATCAATGACAAAGTGCAATTACTCTCTTAATCCAAATATTACTAATGATGAAGTCTTGTAATGACTGATTCGTCCTCGATTTACGAGAAATCCCCCCCTCCTTCATTATCACTCTAATATGCAACGGGACAAAACTCGACAGAATTAATTATATTCAATATTGCATATCAAATATGCTAAAATTTATCTAGTTATGCGAAATCAAAGAATAATGTGATACATGAACAACTTTTTGCGAAAGAAAGCATTTTGTACATCACTTGTGGACTCAAGAGATAATTGGTCCTGCAAAAATGTGATACTTATTACAATGCACCTAAAAGGTTATGAAAGTTTGAATGAAAGGGATTTGACATGCAAAAGTTACTTTAGATTTCTTCATTATTCAGCAAGTTGAATAATTGATGACATAATTATCATGCAATTCGATCCAATGATGAAAGATAAATAAATAATTCCGATAGTAGACTATACAAGGTGTTAGAAAAGCAAATTTAAAATAAATCTCACTCCTCTATTAACGTTAAACACAAGTTTGATTGTTCACAACTCTATACTCGCTTGAGAGAAATTATACTAAATAGGTTTTTGGTACCCATTTTTAAGAGAAAATGAATTTTAGAATACTAAATTAATGGAGAATGTGTGGATGAAAAATAAGAATTTTTTTTATTTACGTGTAATATTATTTTAATGGAGTGGTTAAAAACAAGAGAGAAAAAAATGTATTTTGCTAGAAATGAAAATCAAACGGGGTGTACAATAATAATGAAGATAATTAATGGATTGCATTGTAAATTTGGAAGAATTATAATCTCCTTTAAAAAACTAAGAGCACAAAAGTCTTGGTATTGATATTAAAATTAAAAATTATATATTTGAGAATTTTACTGAACAAGAGTAGACATATATAAACATAAGCCCATGAATATCAGATGTGACCCATGGACTAATCGGCCTAAATTTACAAAACTTTTAGGGCATTTACATGATCATATATCAAACAAGAATTAATCTACTCATCCAGCGACGGGGCTTATCCCCCCCCCCCCCCCAATTGGAGGGGCTGTCAAGCAGGCTGATCAAACAATCATTCTTGGGATACAAGGACAAACCCCTCCAAAATACACACAAAGGGGATGGGTAGGGTGGATTTTTTCACATGAAATCCACCCCAAGTTAGTTTTCTGTAATTCTTCACAATATCAAAAGGAACCATGCTACACTAACAAGGAGGTTGACCTGACAGAGACCCCATAAAAAAGGGGGAAGGAATTTTTTTTTTTTCAAGCAGGATCCACGGCATGTGGGAGACTGTTAGTCCTTCTATCAACATTTTCAATCAATTTAGCATTTTTTTTGTCAAAAGTCATTCACACTCCTGGGGATGTTAAATAACAAATGATACATATATATATATTTATTATGCTAGAGATTAAATTACAAACTATACATTTAAGACTAATTTTTTTAGAGGATCAAGAAAGAAATACTAAAGGGTCTTGATTTTGTCAAATATATACTCTTGTTTGGATTAACACCATGTATTATTTCGCTTGTTAATCATATATACACAAATAAGGTACTTTGTTCTTGGTCAAGCTTGAAAGCTTCGAGGAAAAGTTGCAATGATGAATATTGGTGATGGAGTTTCCGAGCTCGAACCCACTGAGACTAAAAACTGGAAAAGGACTGTGCGAGTTTGAAGCACCACCTCCATTCTTGACTACAATGCTTAGTATGGTGAATGATCCAAACACGAACTCCCATATTTCATGGAGTTCCTCTGGTACTAGCTTCATTGGTTGGGACCATATCCAGTTCTCCGCAGAGCTTCTCCCCCAAAACTTTAAGCACAGAAATTTCTCAAGATTTATTTACCAACTTAAGGAGTTCTAAAATCTAAAATCTAAAAGAAATGGGAAAGAGGAAGGGGGAGAGAGATTTCTCTTTTCCTATCAGTTCGATTGAATGGTATTATGAGAGGTCAGTTACAAGCATGTTTCAGGAAAATAACATAATTTTGTATATTTCAACAAATGAAGATATTCAATTTAAGATACAAGTATATACAGAAAATAAGTCTACGAAGAAGGAAGTGAAGTAGAGTAGTCGACACATATAGGCTTATCTTCTATCGAATAAATGGACTATTCCCCTTGATTTGAGCATTGAAACAATCGCTAAACCAGATCCAACTCGTTTCGTAGTCGTAGCTTATTGGTTAGAGATTCTCCACGGAGTAGTTCGTATTTACGACTCGAATTATTTGTTTCTTGGCTTACAAGAAATCGTTATATCGAGAAAGAATTAGGAAAGCAATATTCTCTATTGAATTCTTAGTTACCTGACCAGAAATTGACTTTCACATTGGTTGGATGAAACCAATTCTTCTTGTGTCTGTCTGATTTGGTCCAGTCTTCCCACTTCAATATGATATAGTCTCAATTGAACACTATACTGACTTATTATATACAAGTTTTGAATTTACAATGATCATTAGACGAAAGTAGCCCACCTTCCTAGAAATAAACAAAGATCTATACCACTATACACAAGGATCCTCTACTCATTATTATCATATTATATAGATGAGATGTCGAAAGATATAGATAGAATCGAGACAAAGAGTCTTTTTTCTTATATTTATCTTCTCAAAGAGTTCACTATTACGGCCTTGGCTCAATGGTTCCGTAGCAGTTTTTAGAACATTTTTCTAGAAATAGCATGAATCGCTATGATGACCACAGATTTCAATATCATGCTTTTTGCAATACTTATTTTAGACTTAATCTCTCTTCAAACGTTACTGCTCAAAAAAGTTGCAAAACTTTCTTGTAGTCTTCGTTATTTATCTATCTATTCTATTTTTCATCCCTTTCTTTTCCTACTTCTCATACTTTATTTACCTTTTGGCTTAGATAATTATCATCTTTATCATGTTTTATGGTGGGAGCACTGCACCTTTTGGCTCCTTCCAACCTCATGGATGGATTTGGAGGAGCTGGTCTCATTAGAGCCTTTTTCCGAAACAGAAATGGAAGGCCCGTCAGTAAATTCTTTGATCCATGAGATAGTGCATGATGAACCCCATGTGTAGTGGTAAAAAAACACTAGATTGGAATCATCAATGTGCAATCGAATTTTCCAACAAGAGAATGATAATACCATTTTTCTTCTCGATTGTCTTCCAAATACGCAACACAGAAACCAAAATAAATTTGGCCACAAGTTCAAATTATACTAACAGAGATGAAGAAATGCAAGCCATAACTTAAAGAAACCCGAAATATATATATTTTTTCCATGCTCAAAGAAGCAAAATCATAATATCTACATATTGTGGCAACAGGCCAAAATCATCGCCTAAAAAATTACAGTTTTTAACTCAGTTGTCCTGTTGACAGTCGAATATCTCCTACCAACACTTGTAACAAAGTGGTCATTGATACAAAAAATCAATACACTCATCTAAAGCCCAGAACAGAAATTTCCAGTAGAAGGAGAACAACAAACCTACAGTCATACAGAGTCTACCCCCTTCAACTTGTTGACGTGCTAGATATCTTTCTCTTCTTTCTTTCTAAAAAAATAGAATTTGGAAAAGAAAGACAGGAATAAATACTAAACAGAGAAGAGAATGAAAATCTTACAAGAAAAAAGTTGCTAAAGTATCAAAAGATATCATACCCATTCATCAATGACAAGTCCTTCACCAATAAATGTTGGACCTGCGTCTTCTAGAGGCTTCTTGCGAGCCTCCAATTCAGCCTCAGCCTCAGCTTCAGCCAACTGCCGCTTCAGTTTTTCTAGAGCCTTCAAAGATTCAGCAGGCAGATAATCTCATAAATCAACATTTTCAATGTAAAAATGTATGCAAAAGATGAAGCTTCGAAGCAGTTCAGTAAATGCAGTATATGTTGTAGGAACCACTGTCTAGTATCGTTACTTACTGGGCTAGGACGTTCCACATCTTGAAATACTACCCGAAGTATCTATTCCACAGCCAGTTCATCCTTCTGCTCATCAAACTGTTCCAAGACAACATGAAATGATTAGAAACAATCAGGAGAAAGTTCAAAGACACTTTCTTAGACAAATCACATTTCCCAGAGCCTTGATAATGCGATCCGTGCAACAAGTAAATTATTTTCAATAATACATGCAGTCACTATATTAACAAGACCAATAAACATAATTATTGCAATTGAAGCACAAACTAAAAGAGTGTGACTATGAGCATATAGCCACCAACACAAAATTATTTTCAAGATGGGTGCACAGAAATAAAGCTATCAGGAAAAGAAAGTGACAAACCAGTTCTGCTATGTAGTCCATCGGTCCATTCACCTTTAGGCTCATGATTTTAAACTTCACCTTGCCCTTTTGAAAGCTACACGAGACTTGCTTGTATTTTAAATCTTAATAGCACTTCGGACCTCTTACCAGATTCATCTGGAAGCAATAAAACAAGACCAGAAATTTATTGTGCATAAACAGAGGGATTTTGCAAGGAAATATTTAGCAAATGAGGATGTTAATAGTGACAGGTTGTAATTACTCAAAAAAAACATAGAAATCAATGTAGGGAGGGGAGGGAGAATAATTGAGAACAGATTGCCTGAAAAATTAACTGGAACAAAACAATAGACCCTATTGAGATAAATGATGTCTGAAGCCTGATAGCAAATATCAAAAGAATAATGTCAAATGCTTTTAATTTCCTTGACAAATCATCGTTCTCAGTGGTGCATCTGTAACCTCTGGTCGGTGGATCAGCCATTTGTTACCATTAAAACTTCACTTTAGGGCCAATTTTCATAGCAATGGTTCGTAAAAAGGTTCTTTACATTGTTTATATGGCATTCAC